CTATACAAGTTGTCTACTAGAAATTGTGACATGGCTTTGTCCCTGATTTATAAACATCTGCTTATGAAATACCGTAGAAATGGGAACTTTAATTTTATTTGGTTACTATTTCAATATCTTGGAAAATCTAAAAGTTTGCTGTTTCTATGTCTATAGCTGGAGACTGGCTGCAAGGTCCATATGTCTACTACCTCTACAGTACATATGGATATGGGAAAGGAGAGATAGGCCAACTTTTCATTGCGGGTTTTGGTTCATCCATGCTTTTTGGAACAATTGTGGGATCTCTTGCTGACAAACAGTGAGATGCTTCTTCTTTTTTTTCTTTTCCTTTTCATTTCCTTGGTTGCTTTGTTTCATTTTGTGCATACATGGCACTTTTCAATATATCATGCTATTTTATTTTAATCAGGGGACGGAAGAGGGCTTGTGTTACTTACTGCATAACCTATATCTTGAGTTGCATTACGAAGCATTCTCCTCAATACAAAATCTTGATGGTGGGCCGTATTTTGGGAGGCATTGCCACCTCACTCCTATTTTCAGCATTTGAGTCCTGGCTCGTGGCTGAGCATAACAAGGCGAGTTTTAAAGATTTAATTGCTTTTGATTAAAAGAAATTACTTCTGGATGTGTTGTTATTATGTTTGACCAAGTGGATGTGTTATTATTAGACATAAAAAGTACTCTAATACTGGTATGGTGTCACTATAGTAATATAATGATATCCTTTTATTTCAAGGCAGTTGTCCAGAATAGGTTTTTGTTCTCAAAATGATTTGTTAATATAAAGGTTCGAGGCCGGAATTTCAAATTGTAATTGTTTTGTATATTTTACTTTTTACATTAAATGAAATTTTGAATATGTTATTGTAAAATATAAACAAACTGATTTGGTTCCTATAAATGTCAACTTTTAGACAAAAACTCCATTCTTACTTCTATTAACTGCCATATAGATGTGATTTTGTGGATAGAGTCTGCTTACCAAACAATGTTCAACTATGAAACAGGACTTTTTAAATCTTGATGCCATCTGAATTTTTGAAACTTTGATATCTTTACTTTGTTTAAGTTAACAAATACATAACTTTCTTACTTAACAAATATGTAATTTGAGAAGATATTAATTCCAACTGATGATGACCTAACCTATTCTGAAATTTTTATCAGAGGGGATTTGAGCAACAATGGTTATCAATAACGTTCTCGAAGGCCATATTTCTTGGCAATGGTCTTGTTGCTATCTTGTCTGGGCTGTTTGGAAATGTCCTTGTTGATACTTTGGCTCTAGGACCTGTGGCTCCCTTTGATGCTGCTTCATGCTTTCTTGCAATTGGCATGGCTATCATACTATCGTCATGGGCAGAAAATTACGGGGATCCTTCTGAGAGCAAGGACTTGCTCACCCAGTTCAGGGCTGCTGCCATGGCCATTGCTTCTGGTAGAGTTCACACATTATACATTGTCATTTTTGTTAATGACAATTCCACAAAGATAGTCTGGTTAAATCATCTATATGTTTTATCTGTTGAAGTCATCTATATGCATACTTTTGTTTCCCGGCATATCATCATTTTTGTTTATTGTTACTGTCTTGGTATTTCAGATGAAAAAATTGCATTGCTGGGTGCTCTGCAGTCTCTCTTTGAAGGCTCCATGTACACCTTTGTGTTCCTATGGACTCCTGCTTTGAGCCCAAATGATGAAGAAATTCCCCATGGCTTTATTTTTGCAACATTCATGTTAGCTTCCATGTTGGGAAGCTCAATTGCATCTCGATTGATGGCCCAAACATCACCCAGAGTAGAGAGCTACATGCAGATTGTTTTTGCTATATCTTCTGCCTCTCTACTGCTTCCCATTTTGACCACTGTAAGCTATAGTTTCAGTATACTTTATTTTCTTGAAAAAGAATTTGAGTTGTTGTGATATGCATCACATTCTGTTATTTTGACTTGGTTAATGTTTATCAGTTCTTGGTAGTTCCTTCCAAAGAGAAAAGTGGAAGCATCTCGTTCCCAGGTTGCATTCAGCTTCTTGGCTTCTGTACTTTTGAAGCTTGTGTAGGCATATTTTGGCCATCCATTATGAAGATGAGATCTCAGTACATTCCCGAGGAGGCCAGGAGCACCATCATGAACTTTTTCCGCATTCCTCTCAACATATTCGTGTGTGTTGTGCTGTACAATGTATGTTGCATTATCTAATTAGATAAAATGCTTGATCCTAAGATTATATCAGTACACGTGGATACAGATTGTTGGATCTCAGCATTCTAATATACTTTTCATTTTATTGTATGGTTTAAACTGGTAATCATTTACATTAAAAATTTTAAACCCAGCGGCAGGCATTATCTCATTAACCCCACAAAGCTATAGCTCCATGTTTGGAAAAATCATCCTCCCTCCCTCCCTCCCTCCTTACTCTCACCCCATTTAAAAAGCAAAGAAAGGGGGAAGAAAAGATGCATGGAAAATTAAGTCCTTGCTTCCATCTGAGTGTGTGTGTGAGTATCCGACTAATTATTTCGTTTGTCTGTGCAGGTTGATGCATTCCCTATTACTGTTATGTTTGGCATGTGCTCAATTTTCCTTTTCGTGGCTTGTATACTTCAGAAGCGGTTGATGATGATTGCAGATAAGCCAAGTAAAATTCCCCCCCTGATCTTTTTCCTCCCTCTTTTTGGTAAAATGGCCTTCTTGTTTTTAATTTTTAGAAATTGCAGCGCTAGGAATTCCAAAACTTGCGATTAATCACCTCTGTTGTGGTATTACATGTATAGTCCTGTCCCAAATCCTTCCGGACCTCCTGTTGATTCTGGCGTGCTCACAAGGCAAACTGAAAATTTCTTTCATGGGCTAGTATAAATAGAATTTGAACCAAAAAAAGGTCATCAGCGAAAAAAAATTTGTACTTAAAATTTTTTTATTTCTAGGCAACTTTTTTCTTTTTCTTTCCTTTTATTTTGGTGGTGACTTATGTTTTTTGTTTAGTTTTTGTGAAACAAAATGTGCTTTCTATAAAATCATGTATAATCTCTGCCTAGAAAGCGTTTTCCTGCTTGGGGGTTGATTACTTGTGTTTGGAACAGAAACAGAAGACTGGGCATTGAAGGATAGGAACACGGAGTCAGAGCCATTGAACATCTAACTGAAGTTACAATGAAGTTTTTAGGAAGATCTGAGCCATCCCATCTGCTGCTTCGTTTAACGTTTTGTAGTTTCCATGTCAGAGACGGTATGACTTGGGGACAGTTCACCTTGAAAGAACGGTTATCTCCCCAGGAAGGGGGGAAAACGAAAAGGATATCGTAAGTGCTTTTGTATCATTGTTGTAGTATGTCTATTGGCAACTGCTTGAGGAGAAATCTCCGTTTTGGTTGTTTGATTTATTCTTTGGAGGCGGGATCGACAGTGTACATGGCACACCATTTCTCCCTTCCTTTTACCCCCTTCTGTAACGGAAATGGACTTGCATCCAGTCAATTCATCTTCTCAATCTTCATTTTTCCGTCCAAAATGTAGGTTGTTGTTTTGTTAGAATTATTGGTTCAACCTTTCAATATAAATGCGTTGTAATGTTAATTTAAATTTTGAAGCACCATTTGTGCTGTTCGCAAAATCTGCTCAACCTTCTTGGATTTTAAGGTTTGATAAGCTCAACTGTTCTACCTGTGAATGTCTGCAACCTGGTATAAATAATCTGTCCTGGTGTTACTCAAATGGTAATGCTACTTCAACCCAAAAATTTAATAATAATATCCTGTGTCGTTGGTCAAGGCTCAACGAATATACCCAAAAGGAATTTCCTTGTCATTTTGAACTTCTCCGGGTGAATAGGTCCGTGTTTGGGGATTGATTTAACGATGATGGAAAATGGTTAGTGTTTGGCCCGCTAACCATTTTGGCCTGTAATTATCCGTTGGAAGGTATACTATGGTTCCGTGGCCATCCTTATGCAAACAGTTCTGGAGGCATGTTTAACATCTCTATTTAATAAAGAAGTTAAAATAAAAAAAAAAATTTGAAAATAGGCATGACCAAAAATCTTCTCAAATCTCCCGAAAGGTTGATTTTCTTGAAATATTTTTTTTTTGGTGGCTCCAGTTTCAGTAATATCGTTTCTTTAGAAATGATAGGCGAAAATAATATTTTTGTCCCCCTGTAAAGGTTGTTAATTGTTATTTTGTATATTTAAAAAATATGAAAACATTTGGTTAAATAAAATTTAAAGATTATTTTTCTTTTTAATTAAAAAAGACAGATTATAAACGACATTAATAGATCACCGTCCAGCTTTCCTCCAAAAGCAGTGTTACCGTTATCCAAATCTCTCATGGAATTTATTCATTGTATGTAATAACCAATGTTATTAAAGCAAAATCAATCATTAAATTGATTAAGGTATTGATTTATGATTCAATAATTAAATTATGGTCTAATCAATCATAAATAAATTGATATATTTTAAATATTATATGGTTAAAGTAAAAAAAATAATCATATACATCAACAAAAATGAATGTTTAAATTTCAAACAAAATAATATACAATAAAAATATTTATTAATATTACATTATTTTCATCCAAAATATCTATAATTATTTCATAATTTATAACTTTAAAATATATACATATATATACATAATTTATACATTTTTTTGCATTTTTTTCATTTCATAATACTTATTAGGCATGAATATATGTAAATTATAACTAAAAAATATGAAAAAATTAAAAATTAAATAAAATTAAAAATAATATATCCAATTCAACCAATTTCTTGCACCCAATTCTTGGTTAGTTCCCAATTTAATTGGTTGAATTGACCGATTTAGTCTGATTTTAATAACACTACGAACAACCATTTCCCATCTTTTAAACTAACTTCAGATTAGATATCTTTTTCTCATTTTTAATTTACTCAATAGAGAGTATAGTTAATAAATCATACAAGTTTTTACGCAACAACCCAACTTATCACTCACTATAAAATGTCATAAACATATTTTTAATTCTCCTATGTTCCTGCATACAGATATTTGAATGGCTGAAGACAGGTTAAACACCTGTTTCGATAAAGGTTGATAAATAAATTGACGCACAAACTGGAGATACACTACAGATAAATACGTAAATTTATCGTGACAAAAATAAAAAAATCGTAAATTTATACATACATGGAAATTGGACCTACAATTTCACTTGAGATTTAGAGGTGATCATGTCACACGGCTGCGTTTTGCATCTGCAGAGGCAACTTCCAAATCCCCAATGAAAAACAGAATTTTGTCCAAAATTCCAAGACAAGAACCAGTTTCTCCCGTGAATTCCCTTTCTAAACCATCACTATGGCAGATGAGGCTTCTTGCTTCTTCGCTGTTTCTTCTTGAACCCAGACATCTCTGTATCTCACCTTGGTGAACAAGATAGTAGTAACGCCCTTCTCTTATAATCTTCAAACCCCTGTTTCGTGATCAATGAAATCACACACTCCCTTTAGACCACTCTTCAAGCATACTGAATTGCCAAAAATGTTCCGACACAACTTTTGATATGTTATTTATTTAATTATGCTAATGTTCGAGATATTCATTTATTTTTTTTTAATATGGCAGCATGACAAAGGGAACTGCATATTTATTAGACATCAATATTTGTCTGTGTTTTAATCATTAATTAGAAAATAAGAAAACATACTTACAATCCAACTCGATCACAGCGATCTTGAACCTCAAAAACATCTTTCCATGATTTTGAAGCATTAGGAGCATAGAAAGCTGCACGATCTTCTCCCCATCTCTCCTTGAAAAGATTAGACCACAAACTATTATCTGAAGCCAACAACTTCCATTTCCTACACACTGTACAGCCAAGTGTCAAACTCATGATTTACCAAATAAGGCAATGAAACTCTGAATCCTCAAAACGGAAAGGAAATAGCCACGTGATATAAGTGATGAATGGCTTTTATTACTACATATCCACATAGTTAGCCATATCAGTCGCCAATAAACAAATGCTTGCTTCTGTCGTATTCAAGAGACACGATCAGGAGTTACAGCTTGGGAAACAAATCCTCTAGCCAATCAAGGGTCTTTTAAATTTGGCCTTGCTCCAAAGAAATGAGTCGAGCAATTGAAAACAATGCAAGGAAAGACATGGACCTTCACGATCATGCAGCTACAACCTAATAAAAAGGTTGCTTTGTCGAGCAATTGAAAACAAAAGCTTGTATCAAGATACTTGATAACATTATGAGGATTCGAATCCGGGTGCCAGAGGATTAGGTAGGAACCATGGGAAACAGATCGGACAAAATGCCATGTTGCTTGGGATCGATCTTCTCAAGGTCAACAGTCCACGCTTATAAGATCCTCCATTCCATTCCGACCAATTTGTTTCTGATCTAAGTGTACCAATTTAATGGTCAAAATTCAGAATCGGCCACGAACTCAACAGACAAATACCAATTTTACAGATTTTGAAGGGTCATCTATACCGGCAAATGGAGGATCCAACGAATATAGATCGGGAAAGGAAATCTGGCGGTACAATTGAAGAATATACACATTTCAGATCTAATAACCTTAAATCAGATGATATGCAGAATGAACAGAAAGATGAATAAACTATTTCGGATGGCCAACGATTGAAAACACATAAATGGGTGAAAATTTTTCATATCCCCACCAACAAAACAACGTAATCGGCAATTAAGAGGGAACAGAGTATGCAGCAGTACCCACTAACCTTGTTGAACAACGACAAGATGTTGGTAGTCCAAGAAACAAAATATCTTCAAACATATTTCCCCAGGCAAACTCTCCATTCCAAGATGCACAAGGAGGCAGGGTCTATTGAGTTCCCTTGGATTCTGATATCATCATATGCGGTACTGATTCTCACTTTCTCCTTTGATTGAAATCTAGTTACTTCCACCGTCCTGAATAAGAGGACGCGAAACTTTCGTTGCTCACTATTTCCTCGACCGTAAAAAGCACTTGCTCTATCGGATTCGGACGATCCAGGAGATCATATAACAGGTGAAGCTTTGCCACCACGTGTCTAGCGTCGTTGAGATCACCACGTGGCAGCGTGTCACCTCCATGTCACTCTCCATTTTTTTTATTAAAAAATTCACTAATTATTCTACATTATATTTTGTTAGTTAAAATTAATGTTGAAATAACCTAAAATTATTAATCTACCTTAATTCAAAATCTCTTATTTTTTATACCAAAAAGTTAGACACCATCCTCTATTGTACTGTTTTGAACTATAATTGGTTAATGATATCACTTTGAATTCAAAAAGTAAAAAATAAAATAAAATCTCTAATTTCTATCCCAATCTAATATAATTTTCTGTTCTCTCTCTCTCTCTCATGTCATGCATACGGGAATCCACTGGTGCTTCTTCCAATACCATCACTATATCCAAAAATGATTTCTTATTTTAAAAATGAAAATTAAAAATTTAAATCCGGATATTTGGATTTTGGACAGCCATTCCACAAAGATGGAAAATCAGAATCGAATTTATTATAGAAACGCGTGTGCATGAAAAAATTTTGAAGAATCCCTTTGCTTTTTTGCACCTGAAGTTGCTTTCATTGTTCTATAATGTTTTCCAAGTCTTGTCACCAACGAACACATTGACCCGTCGACCGTCGTAGCATATGGAGGCATGGAGCTGGCCCTCCACAAACTTGTGAAGTCTGGGCCAGGCAACCATAGAAGCAGTGACACACGAGGATGCTGAAATTCTGTTTTTAAAGAAGTCCAACTTCAACATGCTGATCGGCCTTTATAAGCTTTGGTCTAAAATGAGAGAAGAGCATCATCCCTTGAAGAAGCGACTCATTCTCACGTTCTTCGCTTTGATCTCAGTCTGTTCTGTCCATGAACTCATAACAAGGCCTGCTGATGTTGACTCATAAGTTTGGAACAAATAGCACAGACAAGATAAAGTAGCCGTATATGCAAAGTCCATGACTATAGAAGCAATGGATCTACCATACGCTCATGGCATCCGAGTCCCTCGTCCAAAATTATCCCCAATTGTTCCACCCCAAGGCCATTTAACCAAACGAATTTTAGAGAAGGAATGGGGATCTCTTTTGAGCTTTCATGCAAAGAATTTTTCTTCCTTTTTGATAAAAAGAGCAAATGATTTCTTATCCTCCTTTTCGGACCTATCTTCCTTCTGTTATACTTCAACTATGTACGGAAGTAGAAGAATTTAACCCTCTTGTATATGCGTGTAGGGGTAATCAAGTAAAAGCTGATAACATATCTAAATAAGTCTAAAGTTACTGAAATGGATTCGCACCATAATCTCACCTTCAGCTTCAGAAGGCAGTTGGGCATATCTCATTTGCCAGCGCATTTCTCTTTGAACCAACTCGGAAAGAGCCTTAGCCTTCTCTTGGGTTATATCTGCACAGAAGTTTGGGACATTGCATTCGCAATTAGCATTACCAATAGTCCCCACATGAGCAGGAACCATCACGAAAGTGATGGAATCGATTTTTGTCTCTCAATATGATTTCTCTTTTCACTGCCAGTGAGACATACTTGATTGCCGAATGGCAATCACCACAAACCCTAATATTCTTCATAATACGTATAGTGGATCCGGGATAAGTATTCAGAAGCGCAAATGCTAAAGCTAGCTTCTCACTATGGTACTGTAACTTCCCTTCCTTCTCCTGTTGGTCAATAAGCAGAAGCACATGACTGGTGTCTGGAACATAGCCAATCTCCTTAATTTTCTGACTTAACTCCTCCCACATTTTATGGATCTTTTCTTTCTGGGGATGGGCATCATCATCAGCCACAAATACATGGACAGAATTCCCAATCTCAACCCAACTACAAGCAGGTTCCTTCTTTACCCCGCTCTCTCTCATTGCCTTTCTGACTCGTGCTGCATCCCCCCACCTACCAGCAGCGGCATACATATTAGCAAGCAAAATGTGAGGCCCTGAATCAGAAGGATCAAGCACAAAGATACGTTCAGCAGCATAAGCACCCATTTCCAGGTTCTTATGCATTTTAGAAGCACCAAGCAAAGCTCCCCAGATGGCTGCAGTGGGTTCAATTGACATTTCTTCTTCTATGAATCTCTTAGCTTGATCAAGAAAACCAGCTCGGCCAAGAAGATCAACCATTGTCACATAATGCGACACTTTTGGCTCTACTTTGTACTTGTTCATTAGATTGAAATAATATTTACCATCGTTCAGAAGTCCAGCTCGGCTACAAGCAGTAAGAACACAGAGGAATGTTATATTATTGGGTTCAATCCCAACCCTTATCATTTCCTCAAACTGCTGCACAGCTTCCTTTCCAAGCCCATGTTGGGCATATCCGAAGAGCATCGAATTCCAAGAAACCAAATCAACCTTTACCAATCGAGCAAAAACTTTTTTGGCATCCTCAATGCTGCCCGATTTTGCATACATGTGAAGAAGAGTATTCCCTACAAAGCCAACAAGCTTTCTGCCTGATTTTACCAAATGTGCATGAAGCCATTTACCTTGCTCCAAAGATCCCAAAGCAGAGCAAGAACAAAAAAGAGAGGAATAAGTAAACTCAGTTGGTTTAAAACCTTCCCTTTGCATCTTGAGAAACAGCGACAGAGCTTCCTCTCCTTCATCTTTCCTTGCATTACCTGCTATCAAAGCATTCCAAGAAACCTCATTCTTGTTCACCAGATTATCAAAAATTTCCTGTGCTTCACCCAAGCAGCCACATCTAGCATACATGTCAACAAGTGAACTCCCCACATATACATTGGAGTGACAACCGTACTTGAGACAACATGCATGAATTTGCCTCCCATCCCTATAGCTAGGCAAAAGAGCAGAAGACTTTACGAGGCTTGACAATGTAAATTCATTTGGTTTCAACCCATCACGGAGCATCTTAGGGAACAGCATAAGTGCATCTTCAGCACGCTCATTTTGGGCATACCCAGTTATCAAAGAAGTCCAAGTGACCATATCTTTGGAAGTCATTTTATCAAACACCCTGCGAGCATCTTCCAAATTCTTACACCTCGCGTACATGTAAATAACCGAATTTTGAATAACAATATCATCTCTGAACTTGGAACCAAGAATGTGGGAATGCACTAGTCTTCCTTGATCAAGCTTCCCCGATCGTGTACATCTCTTGAGCAATTTATTGTACAGTGTCCGGTCCGCTTCGATCGAACCGCTGTCTATAAGATCAAGAACATAAAGACCTGTTTTGGAGTTTAAACTAGGACGAAGAAGATTAATATCGTCAATAATGCATAAATTGTCCCACTTGCTGTCCTCTAGAACAGCTGAATCTGAACAAGTTTCTGGAGTTTCAGGCTGAAGTAAACTAGTTGAATGCCATTTAACAAGTTTAACTGCAATCGTGAAAAAACAGAATGACAAGTTTCACTGCAGTTATGGAAAAATAAAAACAAAATCTCTAAGGGGAGACTGAAAAAATTAGAAGAAATTAACAGAACTGCTAAGCTCACCGGAGTTTGAGAGCAACGTTCTGAAATCACCAGAGAAGTTGCGCACCAGAGCCACAGTCTTACATCGGACCATCACCTCCGATCTGAGACCAATATTTGGCTCTCTTCTTGTACGTCTTTTCCAACCTGAGGAGCCTGAGATAACTTTCGGCGCCAATTGTGCCGTTGGACTTGGGACTCTGGAAGCTCGGAGCGTCGTTTTGCTGGGACCGGGGGCTGGCGATGCCTATGCTCTCAGTGTCAGGGATATCATTATCCTATATTTTATTTTGTTTCAATAGGCCCCTTAAATTTTTAAAATCAGATCACCCAATATCTTACTGTTAAATTGAAGTTAACAAGCGTTAAATGAGGCAAGTGGAGCCCATGAATTAACACATTTGGCAGCCACGTACGTGTGCCACACGTGTGTCAAAATGAGTCCATTTTTTTTTCAAAAAAAAAAAAAACTTGTCTTTCTCATCCTCGTTATGCTTCAATCGAAAGGAAAAATTGCACTTTGACACCTTCATCCCCTCTCCTTAAAAGTTTTTGGAGTCCTCATTGATTTTGTTATAGGTTTGATACTAGTTGTAGGGTTTAATTTCTTTTTTGTTGATTTACTTTGTTGATTTTGCTTCTAGTTTGTTTATCAATGCTTCTTGAATCATTAAATGGATTTGTTGGATTTGCTTTAGATTTACATTTGATGAATTTGACTTGCAATTTTTTTAAAAAAAATCTAACTTGTCTACATGATGTGGATGATATGAGCACACATGATTATCAAGTGTGCATTTTTAGTCAAAAAAGAGATTTAACAGTTAAAGTTAACTAGAGTTAACGACAAGATAATGAATGATCCAGTTTTGAATGTTTAGGGGCAAAAATGGATTAAGATAAAGTATAGGATGTTAGATGCTTATAAAGGTATAGTTCATAAATAAAAATAAATTTTAACTCTTTAAAAAAATACCCTCATTTGTTGCACTCTCATATAATTACTTTTTATTTTAGGTAAAAGTGCAATTTTTTTTTTGAATCACAGCTGACATCAAGAGTTAACAAAGCTTATAAAAATAATCAAATAGGAGTCCCCTTATCATCATCCATCACCTTTAGACAAAAAGGTGAGGGTTGATCAAAAGATAAATACTTTACTACTCTGTCTTAAGCAAACTTAGCTAGAAAGTGAGCATAAAAATTTGCCTCCTTAAATATGAGATTCACATGTATATCTTAATCTCTATAAAAAAGGGACTGAACTTGAATAATAATATCTGCACAAGGATGAAATTTTTAGTTGAATCTGAGGAGAAGATTTATCACATCTGCACAATCAATAAACACTTTAACCTTTTACAGTCCCATATCCTAGCATAATTGAAGGCCATAGACAATTCCTAATAACTTAGTCACAGCAATTGAGTAGTTTCCAACACAGACATTAAAACCACCCATCCAATTAGCATTACAATCACGGATTACACCATCGCATTTTCCTATTCCATCTATTTTTGATCCATCAACATTCAATCTCACATATCCCAACTTAGGTCCCTTCCAACGGTCGTTAACAAAACCAACATGTTTTTTAAAAGTAAAAGACTGCTTTACAAGTTGTAAATCATGCTTTATTTTGTATAACATCGCATTTCCTGACCCTATGTTCTCCACATCCTTGCTAGAGAAGGCCCTTCTACATCTATGACACCATATATCCTAACACACATAATAAAAAATGATATCTCAAGAAACCTGATGTGTATTTAAAATTTAAATTTAATCATGAATTATTTTATAAAGAATACTGAATAGTTTATATTATTGGATAATGTAAAATAAATTATTAGTCAATATATATTATTAAATTTGACCAAACAAACATTAAATTTTTTGTGGCGCTCGCTCGAATTTCACTAGAGTCCCTCCCCCTCTCTAGATCTCATCTTCTCTCTTTAACCCTCTCATCTCTCTGTAGCCCTCTCAGCTTGTCCAATGAACTGTTGGGCTGAACTACAGCCATTGAGAAATCCCCAGACACATGGTTGGCCAAATCCTTATACCATAGCAACCCATCAACCTTCCCACCCCCTTCTCCATCTTCACCTTTCACGGATGGTTTCCAGCATGATTTAACCATTTCTATTAGCAATTTGTCAATCGAAAGAAAAGTTTATCTTTTCTTCCTTAACGTTTATATCACCTGAAGAGATGATCTCAGACCATAGAGCTATATACCCATCAGGAACAAATGGGTATGGATTGAACTAGGTGAGATTCACATAATTAGCATGGAATATCGATATGGAGTGGTGAAGCTCTGTCGCGTGTACCTTGAATCTAAGCTGAATGGGTTAATTGGATGGTGTGGGATATGTCACGAACAGAGACGGTTGTTCTTCATCAACACGAAGTTCCACTCCAACATTTATGCACTCACTGACTTCAATGTCTCGCTCCGTGTTTATGTCCACATCATTCCGACCACCATCTTCATTAGCAACATTAAAAACATCAAAAAAGGAAAGAGATCAAGGCTGAAGTTTGAGCAGCTTGAGGCTGGGGAGCGTCGTCGACGCAGAAGCTTTGACAGAGAGGAATGACGGGACAGCTGGCATCCAGTAAGGTTTAGGGCTAGTGTGTTTCTTCTTGATCTCTTCAGGAAGATCAAGACAGGAGCACGAAGCAGCCATGAGTCTCACACGCCTCCCTCTCTTTTCTGCTCAGGCTCTCTATTTTCTCAGTCCCTTCTTCTTCCTTCGTGAAGACCAGACACGATATCATCATCTTGTCGTTACCCTCTAACCTCAAAGGTTGGCAATGGTGGGATGCTACCAGTGAAGGAGTTCCAGGCAAGGCGTTGCGCGGAAAGGCATTGAGTTGAAAAGGTGAATGAATGCGGCAACACACTCACGAAGAAATGATCGTTTGCTGGAAATTGACTCGAGGTGGCAAATGCTCCATTTTTTTTTTTATAATTGATGATTTATTTTATATCACTTAATATTATAAATTATTTAGTATTTATGAAAAAATATTTCATAGTTAAAGTTACACTTTTATTCTTTTATTTATTAAAAAAAGTAATATTAACATTTTCTTAAATGATAATAATTATTTTAAAGCCGAACAAAAATCCTGCAATGACATATTTTAGGGTGAAAAAAGTGACAATTATTTTAGGAACAAAAGGAGTAGTATATATTTAAATTTAATAAAAAGGAGAAAGAAAATATAATAAGGACAAGCAAATCTTGCATGCGATCTTTTGCTTTTTGTTTTGGGCACCGTTTGCCAGCGAATTTGCTAATATATATTTAGTACTTGTTGTATTATATAAATATCATATAATGATATTTTATTTGACATATATGTTTGTATAATTTAGATGTGTCGTTAAGTGAGATGAATATGGCATTTTTTTTATTTTAAAAGCAGACTATGGTTTTTTTTTTTTTTTGCAAAGACGCTATAAACAGCAATAAAAAATATCAAAATTTTATATTGTAAGAATTGTTGCGCAAAATACTACACCTAAAATTGTTTTCATGTTGAACAATTTACAAAATTAATTATACCACGACTGATTTCTTCAATATTTACTTCAAAAGTGAAACAAAAGTTGGTATGGCATGAACAATTTTTGAAAATTATTCTTGGCATGAACGATTTTTGAGCTTCCTCTCCAGCACTTCCTTTCCCCTAATAAATGAAATGAATGACTTGCCTAATTATTTAGTAATCATTTGAATGAAAAATGGTGACTAAATAATTGGAGAAGAAGGTGTTAATAAATACATAATATTACTAATATGATTAAGAAATTATCTAATAACAAATAATTGATTATTAGGTTTTATGAAAATTAATAATAAATGATTGTGTTATATGAATAAAAATTTAATTTACCTCACAAATAATGACTTTTAATATTATATTTTGTTCTCATTCTCATACATTGAGCCTGCTTGTTGCTACTATTGTATATTCTCATTTTTTTGAGATTCAAGTGTTTCATTCATCTATATAATCAACGTATTTAAATTAAATTAAGGTGATTCAACTAAAGAAATTGATTGTTGAGAATGGCATATGCTTCATTTAATGGTTTACCATATTCAAACGTATGAGTGTTGTATTGAGCCGAAAGTAGTGTGAAAACACATCAAGTAAAGACATGAATGATTCAAATTAAGTAAGAGTGGATGAGTTGAAAAATGATGATTATGAGGGTGGCATGTTATGAGGCTCAAATTGATTAAGATTAAGAGAGATGAAAAGGGGAAATGATAACGATGAGGTAGGCATATAATGAAATTGACTAAATTTTTTAGGCTCTTGTTCCCTACATTTTCATTTTCAATCAGTGATTGGATAGACAAATAACTACCACGTCGCTTGCTCAATTCGTCTTGAAGAATTTGTGGACAAAATAACTCAACTTTTAGTAAATCAAGTTGAGGGTCTCTATTAAATCAATATTCTCTTATTGCAAATAAGATATTACGTTAATTTTAAATAACCCTATCTTGATAATCAATACAATGAAAGTATTCTAAATAAAAATTAATAGTTAGCTTATAAAACTCCTTTATCATGTCAGCCTAGAATAAATAGTAAGACATTGAATGATAACATTTTTTTTTATGTCATACACAAGCTTGAATTCTCACAAGATATCCAAAGTGAATATTATATTATGTCAGTCAAAAAAGCTAAACTCATTCTGGACTATTTCACTTTTAATTAAAAAATTAACTTCTGAACTCATTTACTAATTAAATGATTTTACTTTTCATTTTAAAAAATTAATTTATGACTATAAAATTGTTCTTGGGCTAAACAAGTTATACACAAACATTAACTCATTCTCTATTTGAACGGTTTCTTGTGTAGCATTTGGATAAATACCATCCACGGTGTAGCATTTAGATAACGAGTCCTACTGTTACTGGTATAGTATATTGTTAGAAAAGATTTGACATTGCTTGGTGCTGAAACACTGCAGATTGGAAGCAAGGTGCTTGCACGTGCACGTACGTTCTATTGTTTTTGTCCCAGGTTACAGGGAAAAACTCCCATTCCTTGACAACGAATCGATCAGTTAGACAAGATAAATCATAAAAATAAATCAACAAATTTATTTCCATAAGCCAAGGTTTCATGTCAAGACTAAATCTGAAAGGCTTCTATAGTAAAATCCAAACTATACATCGCAATGGCGTGCTGTTTTTGATTTTGAGGCCAAGGCAGCCAGGAAGGGGAA